AAATTGTTAAACCATGTGAAGGGAGCTATTTCTTATGAAGATTTGAAAAATGTGAACGGAATTCATGCTTCATCATTTCGTGAAGCTGCATTATTGCATGGTTTGCTTAATGGTGATACTGATTGTGAAATGTGTTTGCAAGAAGCTTCTCAATATCAAATGCCCTCAACATTGCGTGAATTGTTTGCTACTATATTAACGTTGTGCGATCCACATGATCCCCAAAAATTATGGAATAATTTTAAACAATATATGATAGAAGATTATATAATGAAAGGTACGAGTACTAAAGTAGCTGAACTGAAGGTCTTGAATGATTTGAATGACATATTACAACTTTCAGGTAGAACTATAAATGATTATCGAATAGTTCAACACCATATTTTGTTGGAAGAAAACAATCATATGTCCAAAACTATTACGGATGAATTGCATATATTAGTTTCAAATGAAGATATTGTAAGCAAAACAAAATTAAATTCAGAACAAAGAAAAGCATACGATATTATTTTACATGATGTCTTCAAAAAAATCAATGGTGTGTATTTTATTGATGGTCCGGGAGGTACAGGAAAAACTTTTTTATATCGGTCTTTACTTGCAGCTGTAAGATGTAAAGGAATGGTAGCTTTGGCCACTGCATCTTCTGGAGTGGCAGCAGGATTACTTCCTGGAGGTAGGACTGCTCACTCAAGATTTAAGCTCCCACTTCAGGTTAGCAGTAAATCGACTACTTCTGTTAGTAAACAATCATCTTTAGCCGAATTATTGAGAATGACACAATTAATAATATGGGATGAAGCTCCTATGTTAAATAAAGCAGTTATTGAATCGTTAAATGAGATGTTACAAGATATAACTGAAAGTAAACTTCCATTTGGAGGCAAAGTTGTAGTTTTTGGAGGTGACTTCCGTCAAATATTACCCGTTGTTCCGAACAGAGAAAAGGAAGATATTGTTGGTGCAACATTAGTTAATTCATATTTATGGCCGTTTATTAAAAAAATCAAATTAGTTCAAAATATGAGAGCTCAATTAGATTTACCTTTTTCCGAGTATTTACTTCGAATTGGAAATGGGATTGAACCTTTACATTCATGCAATATGATTAAATTACCAGATGAAATGATTATTCCACATGATAATGAAACCATTCCTGTACAAAATTTGATAAATGTTGTGTTCCCTGAATTAAATACCTATGTAGATAATATTGAAGCTATGATTAATAGAATCATATTATGTCCCAAAAATGAGAACGTTGATTTTATAAATGCTATGTTAATCGAAAAGTTCCCAGGTGATTCTGTTAAATACTATAGTTTTGATGAATCAGTCAATTTAAATGCACGGTCATTTGATGAAGATTTTTTTAATACTTTAACTCCTAATGGTGTTCCACCACATGAATTAATTCTGAAAAAGAATTGCCCNTCTGTTAAATACTATAGTTTTGATGAACCAGTCAATTTAAATGCACGGTCATTTGATGAAGATTTTTTTAATACTTTAACTCCTAATGGTGTTCCACCACATGAATTAATTTTGAAAAAGAATTGCCCAATTATTTTATTGAGGAACATAAATCCATCTGAAGGTTTGTGCAATGGAACTAGGCTTATTTGTAAAAGATTTGATAGGAATATAATTGATGCTGAAATTAGTGTCGGACAATATAAATACAAAAGAGTTTTTCTACCCCGTATACCGTTTGTCCCTTTTGAAAATGATATAAATCCAATTAGATTTAAAAGAACTCAATTCCCAATCCGTGTGTGCTTTGCTATGACTATAAATAATGCTCAAGGTCAAACTCTTGATTTTGTTGGATTATATTTACCTGAACCTGTGTTTTCACATGGACAACTTTACGTCGCATTATCAAGAGCAAAAAGTAGT